AAAAGTGATGACGTGGCGACTTCTTTGTCAAATGTTATATCTGCTACAGTTTGTTTAGGCCATTGTGGGGTAGTTACTATGGGTTACAGTAAGTTTAGGGTTTCCTACTTGTACCTAACTCTTTCCTAGTGCAATCACTCTTGTTCATTCAGACATGGTATTAGAGCCTAGGTTAGGAACCTAGGACCGCTTAGTCCTAAGGGTCCGCCTTTCCGCTAGAAGCGCCTTCGAGCGCCCTATCGCCTTAGTGCCCTTATGTGCCTCTCTACTCATGCGCCCTCGTGCGCCTCTCTAACTCACGCTGCCCGTGCGTAGCCCGTTAGCCGCCCGCGCGCGACCCGTTTTTTCTAGCGCGCACAGCCCGCTAGCCACCCGTGCGCGCGTCGACTGTTAGCCGCCCGCGCGACCAGCGCCGCCCACGAGCAGCCCGTTAGCTGCCCCTCGACCGGCCCTGCTGGCCGACCAGCGCGCCGCAGCCCCGCCTGTAGGCCGCCGCGTCGCTTTCGTAGGCTGCCGTGTCGCTTTCGTAGGCCGCCGCCCTCGCGCGACTGCAGCCCACGCGCAGCCGCGGCCCGTACGCAACAGCGGCCTACGTGCAGGCCCACCGTCGCGCCGCCCTGCCCATCCGAGCCGCGCCGCGCCGCCCTGCCTGAGCCGCGCCGTGCTGCCCTGCACTGCCCTACTGCTACTGCTGTTCTTGCTGTTCCCACTGCTACTGCTGTTCGTGCTGTTCCTACTGCTACTGCTGCTACTACTACTGCTGCCACTATGGCTAGTCCCACACTTCTCTATTTCGATGCTAAGGGCCATCCGCTCCAGTTTGATGCTTGGCTCGACGACCTGCACCTGTAGATCACCGCTAAGGACGATGTCTTGCTATATGACCACGCGTCCGGAACCGCTCTAGCACCTACTGAGAATGCTGACACTACAGCTAGCTCCTAGTGGTAGACTCGTGACGCCCACGCTCGCCTAGCCATTCACAGTCACCTGCCGTTAGATGAGTGTGCACACTTTGGCCAGCACAAGACTGCTAAGGCACTGTACGATGCAGTAGTCGCCCGCTACTCCTCGCCTGCCTCTCTTACGGTAGGTCATCTCTCGCTGCCCTATCTTTTCCCCGATCTTGCCGCCTTTTCCACAGTCGCTGACCTCATTACACATCTCCGCACTAGTGACACTCGCTACTGAGCCGCCCTTCCTGCTGAGTCCCTCGCCAAGAACACCCCCCCAATGTACCTCGTTCTCTACCACCTAGTCACCCGTCTCCCTGACTGTTTTCGCGTAGTCAGAAACCAATTTCTCGCCCTCTGCCCCACCAAGCTCACCGTTGACCTGTTTGAGAAGCATCTGCTTGCAGCTGAGGCTAGCATATTCGCTTTAGGTGCCTCTCGTGGCGACCCCCGCACGCCCTTCTTTGACGGGTGTTCCCCTCCCCCCCTTCTCCCCTCGGTCGCCTCTGCTCCCACTGTCGACTTCCTTGGTGCTGAGGAAGTCGGGGCTGCGTCTGCTCCTAGTTGGAGGCGCACGGGCGGTAAGGGCAAAGGGAGCAAGGTTGGTGGCGGTGCTAGTGGGGGAGGTGGAGGTGGAGGTGGAGGTGGAGGCGGTGGGGGCGGTGGGGGTGGTGGCGGTGGTGGGGGTGGTGGCGGGGCTGGGGGGGTCAGTGGCAGCGGCGGGGGTGGTGGCGGCAGTGGTGGTGGAGGAGGCCGGGGTAGAGGCAGTGGTGGTGGCGACAGTGGGCGTGGTGGCGGCGGCTGGGGTGGTGGTCGGGGTGGACCAGCGCAGCGTGGAGGTTCGGGTGGTGTCCAGCGCCAGCAGTAGCGTCTCGGAGAGACCCCGTCGCCCCAGCAGCTTTGTGAATGGTAATCTCAGCATGGGGGGTCTGGGGGTACCTGCACGTATGTCATCCGCACAGGTGACCGCGCTGGTCAGACGTGTGGGAGGTCCCACACGCCGCAGCGCTGCTTCTACCGTCTTGACGACGCCTGGCGTGCACAGTTCCCTGACGCCTCTGAGTTGCCCCGCTGGGCTGATCTACTTAAAAAGAACATTGATATCTTTGCACTTGACTTTGATGTTTTCCTTGGACCCATGTATGCATTGACTATTAGTGTTGAGGGTGACTGTTACTTGTGTGTCCCGCCAGACCCAGGCATTGCGACCAGTGAGGCTGCGGCTCTAGGTGCTGGTGCGTCTGCTGCCCCAGGTCCTGGTGAGGCTGGTGCTCTAGGTACTGGTGTGTCTACTGCTTCAAGTGCTCGTGAGTCTGCACCTTCAGGTACTGCGTCCACTGAGGCACTGCACACCTTCACACTGGACTCAGGTGCTTCCCTCTATTTCTTTCGCGACCGCATTGCCCTAGCGTAGCTCCCTAGGCCTGTTGCTGTCTCCCTGGCTGACCCCTCTAGGGGTCCGGTCCTTGCGACCTCCACCAGTGCCCTCCCTTGTCCTGCCGTCCCATCTGGCACAGTGTCAGGTCTTTACCTCCCCTCGTTCTCTACAAACTTGGTGGCGGGTTCCGCGCTCCAAGATGCGGGTGTTCACCAGTTCACCCCTGCCTACGAGCGTGTGACACGACGGGTCGTCACCTGGCTACCTTCACTCGGCAACCAGGATCGGACTTGTACACAGTGACCACTGAGTCCCCTCAGGTAGCTGCGTCTGCGTCTGCGTCAGGTCAGTTGTCCCCCCCCCCTGCTCGTGTCGCACCCTGTTGCACTGGACGGTCCTCTGGCACCACCGCCTTGGTCACCCTTCGATGCAGCGCCTTCGTGGCATGCTATCCCGTTTCCTTGTCTCTGGTCTCCCCAGGTCACTGCCTCCCCAGCCACTGTCCCCTGCCTCTCCTTGCCTTCCCTGTGTCGAGGGGCGGCAGCATGCCACCCCTCACTCCTCTGAGTTCCCCCCCACGGAGGCTCCTCTTCAGATCCTTCACATGGACGTGTGGGGCCCAGCCCGCGTCCATGGACAGGGCGGAAAGCGCTACTTCCTGCTGGTAGTTGACGACAACACACGTTACACGACGGTCTTCCCCTTGCGCACGAAGGGAGAGGTCCCTGATGTCTTGATCCCTTGGATTCGCGCTACCCGTCTCCAGATGGAGAGGTGCTTTCGCACAGACCTTCCCATCCTGCGACTGCACTCTGACAGAGGTGGTGAGTTTTCCTCCGGCCTCTTGGAGACCTTCTGTCAAGGGGAGGGCATTAAGCAGACATTCACGCTTCCGGCCTCTCCTCAGCAGAATGGGTTTGCTGAGCGCCGCATTGGCTTGGTCTTGGAGGTCGCTCGTACCTCCTTGGTCCATGCGGCTGCCCCGCATTTTCTGTGGCCGTTTGCGGTCCGGTACACTGCGCATCAGCTCAACCTCTGGCCCCGTGTCTCCATTCCAGAGACCTCCCCGACACTGCGTTGGACGAGAGAGGTTGGCGATGGTGTCAGAATAGTAGCTAGAACAAGGAGCCATAGCTAGGGTTTACCTAGATAGGCAAGAGAGAATTAGGCAAAAGAGAGGGGGTTCACTAGAAAGCAGCAGGATACATATATGAAACCATAAAGGGGTTGTGCTCGCTATAGAGTACCCCACTGCAAGCTAGAGGACAATAACATTCTGACACACCCCCATAGCCAAAGTGGGGTGTAATCAGCAGAGCAAGCAAAGCAGAACAAGCTCAGGGTGGATCCCAATGTCACCACACATTCTGAGCACAAGTACAAGAAGAAAGAGTTTAAAGTTCACAATTATGAGCAAAGCTAGTGGTAGTCACAGCGGGCAAGGGAGGAGGAGGAGGGACTGTAAGAGGAAAGGAGATTGGAGGCGACGGCTGAAGCTGCAGACACACGGGCAACACGAGTCACACTGGCACAGCGGCTACCGGAACAACGCTCTGGACTACTGGACTAACTAGCCCCGCGGCTATAAGTTGCAGCAGACGAGCAACGGACCCACGGGCGACTGGCACAGCTGGCTGCGACTGGGCTACCGGAGCAACTCCCCGGACTACAGGTGCTGCTGGCGATACGACGCCAACCTCCGTGCAACCTCCCCAAACAGTCCCACCCCCCCTGATACATAATTTTTGCTTCACCCTTAGCTCCACTCCCACAACACCCTCCTAGCACCACTCCTTCGGCTCCCACACACCCATCCCCCTCAGCGGCAGCTGCAGCAGTGGGAGACAGAGGAGGAGGAGGAGCAGGTGATGGCTCACACACCCACCACCCCCATACCTGTCACCCCCATACCCTGAGTGTGCGGAAAGCAAGCTCAGGTGTGCGCGAATCGTGCACAAGTGTGCGGGAAGCGAACTCAGGTGTGCGGTAAGCAGACTCAGGTGTGCCGGGGAGGGGGGGGGGGGGGGGGGGGGGGGGGGGGGGGGGGGGGGGGGGGGGGAGGGCGACGCGTGGGTCGACAGGGACGAGCGCACAGGTCCTCGGGGGCAGCGCGCGGGTCGACAGGGCCACCGCGAAGGGCGACGGGGATCCGCGTGCGAGTTTACGGGGCCGCCGCGAAGGTCGACAGGGAGCCGCGGGCGGGTCAACGGGGCCGCCGCGAAGGGCGACGAGGAGCCGCGCAAAGGTCGACGGGGACGGGCGCGCGGGTCGACGAAAACAGCCACGCGTCCCAAGCGCATGGCGGGCAGAAAACCGCTACGCGCCTCAAGCGGGTGGCGTGAAGAAAAATGTAAATCGCACGCCACGGGGCGCGCGACAGACAGTAGGGCAGCGGAAGCAGGCGGGCCCACAGGCCAGGAGCGACACTGCTCTGATAGCATGTCAGAATAGTAGCTAGAACAAGGAGCCATAGCTAGGGTTTACCTAGCTAGGCAAGAGAGAATTAGGCAAAAGAGAGGGGGTTCACTAGGAAGCAGCAGGATACATATATGAAACCCTAAAGGGGTTGTGCTCCCTATAGAGTACCCCACTGCAGGCTAGAGAACAATAACATTCTGATAGATGCATCTGTGTTCAGGGTCTGGGGATCTCGTGCCTTTGTCTGCGATATGTCCGCAGACAAGCTCTGCTCCCGCCCCGTTCCTTGTCTCTTCCTGGGCTTTGTCCCAGACGCGCCTGGCTTTACCACCCCTCCTCGCGCCATGTCTTCCCTTCTTAGGACGTCACGTTTGACGAGTCGGTCCCCTTTTACCGTCTCTTCTCCTACCGCACTGCCCCGCTCCGCCTCCGCTGCTCTTCCTCACGCCAGATGCTGCTTCGGTAGACCCCCTCCCTCCCCAGGGTCCTGCTCCCTCAAGTGTTTCGCAGGTAGACCCAGTCGAGCCTGTCAAGGTAGCTGTCGAGTTTGGTCCTGCGCGAGGCACTAAGCGTGCTAAGCTTGAGCGTGCTGAGCCTGGTGGTGGTGGGGGTGGGGGTACTAAGATTGGGGGTGCTGAGCCTGGGGGTGCGGAGACTGGGGGTACTGAGCCTCGGGGTGCGGAGACTGGGGGTGCTGAGCCTGAGGGTGCGGAGACTGCGGGTGCTGAGCCAGGAGGTCCTGAGCCTGCGGGTGCTGCACCCGGGGGCGCTCTCTCTTCCCAGCAGCTGCGTGAGTGGTACTCTCGGTAGTGTCGCCGCCGCCGTGGTGCTGTGGGAGTTGGAGGTGCTGCTCGAGCTAGAGCTGAGGACGCTGGGCCTATTGGAGCTGGTGTAGCTGCTGGGACTAGAGGTGCTACTGGAGCTGTTGGAGGTGCTACCTGTACTAGGACTGGTGGTGCTCAAGGGGCTGGAGCTGGAGGTGTTGACGCTCGTTGTCCTGCAGGTGGTGGAGCCGACAATGCAGCTGGAGCTGGTGCTATTGGGGGTACTAGAGTTGGCACTACTGGAGCTGCTGGTGGTGCTGTAGGAGTTGGAGTTGCTGCTGGGGGTTCTAGTGCTGTCTCTGCTGGTTCTGGGGGCACTTCACGGCCGCGGCTGTACTTCGTTCCACTCCCTCAACAGATTCTTGGTCACCCGCCTCATCCTTGTCCCGCTCCCTCCGTAGAGTGTCCTCCGCCTGTCCAGTCGCAGTCACAGCTACAGCCTGCCTCACCACTCCCTGGTCCTTGTCCCTACACTGGTCCGACAGGAGGTCTTACGGAGCGTTCTGAGCCTAAGTCTTGTCATGTGTCGCCTGTGTCTCGCTCTGCGTCACCTGTTCGTGCTGCTTGCACTAGCCGTTGTGTCCCACGTCAGCGTACTCCTGCTGTCCCATGCACTCACCAGATGACGCTTCGTCCTTCCACTGCTCCACAGCGTGTCCCTTTGCCTTCTCCTCCTGCGTCCTCCCTTCCTGCCCTTGCTGACCCGGAGTCTGACTCTCTTCGTGCTGCTAGTTCTACTGTCACGCGTCTCCTGGCCACTGCTGTCACTGACCCTTCCTTTGAGTCAGCTGCTCCGTCTGCCTTAGTTGCTGAGCTTGTCGACTTTGCTGCTCACTATCATCTAGACTACGCTGCAAGTCTTGTTGCTAAGTCTGATTCTCTCTGTCCTCCATCCATCGGGGGTGAGTGTGCTCTTGGCACAGACGTCCTTGAGGAGAGGCAGGAGGAGTTTGAGTGCTTTGCCACTGCTGTACCTCATCTCGTCTCCATGCTGATTGCACGTGAGGGAGACCCAGATGCACCAGACATCCCGACCCCGCACTCTTACGCTGAGGCGATTGTGGGTGAGTAATCCTGTCAGTGGCAGACAGCCATGGACGCATAGATGGCATTTTGGAAGTCCGCAGGCACTTACGTCGATGAGGTTCCCCCTCCTGGGGCGAACATCGTTAGTGGCATGTGGATTTTTCAGGGTGAAGCGGCCGCCAAGTTCTCCGCCTGTCTTCAAGGCTCATTACGTTGCTCGAGGCTTCGGTCGGAGAGAGTGAGTTGACTGCTTCCAGACCTTCTCCCCCAGCCCGAAGATGACCACTCTTCGGGTGCTACTGCACGTTGCCACTCAGCGTGACTACGAGCTTCACTCTCTTGACTTCAGCACAGCTTTCTAGCAGGGCAGCCTGCACGAGGAGATCTAGCTGTGCCGCCCTCCTGGCTCACAGGGTCGTTTTCTCCTGGTACCCAGTGGAGCCTCCGGCAGCCGGTCTACGATCTCCGCCAGGCGCCACGTCAGTGGCACGACATGCTGAAGACTACACTTGCGGCTCTTGGGTTCGCGCCTTCTACTGCTGACCCGTCGCTGTTTTTGCGCATCGACACTTCGTTTCCGCTGTTCTACATCCTCGTGTACGTTGACGACTCAGTCTTTGCCACTTCTGACACTTAGGCTCTCGCCCTGGTGAAGTCGGAGCTGTAGAAGAGAGACACGTGCACAGACCTGGGTGAGCTGCGCAACTACCTTTGGCTTGCAAATCACCCGTGACAGAGCATGCCCTACCATCACACTGAATCAGTCACACATGGTGCAGCAGGTCCTTCAGTGCTTCGGCTTCACCTGGTCCTCGGCACAGCTGACTCCTCTGGCTACAGGTCACTCACTCTCAGCTCCACCTTTGGACGAGTCTGTAGAGCCGAGTGGTCCTTACCCAGAGCTAGTTGGCTGCCTCATGGACCTGATGACTTGCACTCGTCCTGACCTCGCGTACCCTCTTGGCCTTCTGGCTCGCTACGTGGCTCGTGGTCGGCACCGAAAGGTACATATGGATGCTGCTAAGAGGATAATATGCTACTTGTGCTGCACATCAGGCATGGGGCTCGTGCTTGGAGGGAGGAGCTCAATTGTTCTCACTAGGCACTCAGACGCTTCTTGGGTTCACGACCACTCTACTCAGCGAACGTCACAGGGTTACACCTTCAGCCTTGGCTCTGGTTCAGTTTCTTGGCGTTCTACACGTTTGTCTTCAGTTTTCAGCTCCTGTTGTGAGGCTGAAATCTACGCCACAGCCATGGCTGCATAGGAGTTACGCTGGCTTACCTACCTGCTGACCGACTTGGGAGAGCGGCCTCATTCTCCTCGAGTGCTGTACGTCAACAACAAGGCTGCCATTGCCTTGTCTGAGGAGCATAGACTGGAGCATTGAACAAAGCACATCGCTCTGCGTTACTTCCTGGCTTGAGAGTTGCAGCAATGTGGTCAGCTTCATCAGCGTTACGTGGCCACTCGGGCCAACACTGCTGATATATTCACCAAGGCACTTCAGTTTGCTGATCATCAGCGTTTCTGCACTATGCTAGGGCTTGTGCCCACACGCCTCACTTGGTGTAGGCTTTGCTTGTACTGTGATCTATATATATATATACGTGCATGCTTGCTTTGCTAGGTAGAGATCACTGTGATGTTTGTGTTACATATATGCCTCTGCATGTGAACTAGCCTTGTGACACTTTGCTTGTGCTCTATGAGTGTGGTGACGTTGTGATCCACCCTGAGCTTGCTTTGCCTTTCTTGACTGGTCTTGTGACCCCTTGCTCTCCCCCAGTTTGCCTATGGGGGTGTGTCAAATGGTATATCTGCTACTGTTTGTTTAGGCTGTACTGGGGTAGTTACTATGGGGTACAATAAGTTTAAGGTTTCCGACTTGTACTCAACTCTTTCCTAGTGCAATCACTCTTGTTCATTCAGACATTCGGAGCGAGCAAAAAAAAGAGATCATGATGGCGCAAGATTAAAATGTCACAACCAGTCGGCAACAGAGGAAATCGACGAGACAAGTAGAGGCTCCGCGAAACAAGATTCTACACCAACCGGGAAACTCCAGCCGAACACCCCCGAGAATAAGAATTTGTTAAAAAATATTACTTCTCGTAATCTTCAAGCCTTTCAGAAATTCAGGGGAGATTTAGAGGGTAAGAAAAAAAACCTAAGAGATTATTCAGGTACCTGAGAATTTGGGCAAACCACTACGGAGCGTTTAAAAGGGTCGTGCGTTCCGAGGAGTTAATATTCTCTCCCTGCAGCACAGTGTTAAGGCTCCCCATTGCCCACAAGTGAAGCCTACACAGCTGCAAAGGCTTAGGGGAAGGTTCAAGGCCAATACAAAGCTGAATCGGCCTAGGATAAATCCTTCTAACCCAGCTCAGTTGGAAAATGATACTGAGTCAGCAGCTTCGCCCGCAGGACCTAGGGGAGATATATTCGACGTACCCTATGATCCTATAAGTGAGGCCATCTACGATTACTCGGAGCGGCAATAGCTACTACTACTCGAGGTGATCTGCAATAGACGACACCTCCAGACACCAGTGGACAGCGATGCGTCTCACTCGGTGTGTGACCGCGGAACGTTGGAGAAAATTAGAGAACCTTTAGAGGAGATCAATTTTACGGCAACGATGGTGGACGGTGCAAAACTTCCTATCCACGGCGAAGCATCACTGCAGCTGCACATAGGGGCGCTGAGGTGGAAGCCGACGTTGCTGATCACGAACATCAAAGGTTTAGATTTCATCTTGGGGCAAGATTTCTTGAAGAGGCTCAACCCCGAGATCAAATGGGTCAACAGGAAGGCGTGCATCTACAACAACAGGAAGTGAGTGGAGCTGCGAAGCTGGATGGATACAAGGGACGTTCCTGAAGCAAAAATGGCACGGTTCAAATAGACGGTGAACAAGAGTAACACGGGTTACTTACTACTGGTTATGGCAGCAGCATAGGAGGATAATATGAGTTCGGAGCTACCTACAGCAGTAAAGGAGGTCTTGGAGCAGTACAAAGATATAATGCCCGACGACCTACTAGCAGGAGTACCTTCAGCACGCACCCATGAGCACGAGATCGTGGAGGAACCAGGTGCGAAACATGTATCACGTGCACCATACAGATTGAGTCCGACCGAACCGACAAACATGAAGAAGCAGATAGAGTATCTACTAGACGGACAACTCATCTGCCCATCCACCTCTCCCTACGGTGCACCAGTTCTCTTCACTTCAAATCTAGATAGCTTTTTACGGATGTGCATCGACTCCCACGCAGTGAACAAACAGACAATCAAGAACAAATGTCCCATGCGACGCATAGACAATCTTCTAACAGTCTTTTTGAAGCTGGACCTACGGTCGGGTTTCAGGAAGATCAAGATGGCGCACAACTCGATCCACAAGACGGCGGTCCGTACTAGATATGGCTCCTACAAATATCTAATGATGCCTTTCGGGCTCAGCAATGCACCAGCAACCTTCCAGACGGAGATGAATCATATCCTACGGCCCCTATTGAACGAATGCATGGTGGTGCACTTGGACGACATTCTCATCTACTCCAAGAACATGAAGGAGCACATGGAGCATCTCCGGAAAGTCTTCGAGATCCTGCAGAAGAACAAGTTCTACGTGAAGCTGTAGAAGAGCGACTTTTCCCTAAAGAAGGTGCAGTTTCGGGCACATGGAGAGTGCCAAGGGCATACACGTGGACCCGCGGAAGATTGAAGTCGTAAAAAGGTGGAATGTACCGGAGAACGGGAAGGAGTTGCAGCAGTTCCTAGGCTTCGCCAACTACTAAAACAGGTTCGTGCCACAGTACGCTAATATAGCAGCACCACTAACCAACCTACTGAAAAAGGATACGCCCTACAAATGGGATATTCCTCATCAGCAAGCCATCGAGCAGCTACAGACAGCACTGACTAAAACACCAGTACTCATCTTACCAGACCCACACAAGGAATACGTGGTGGAAGCAGAGGCTAGTGACCAAGCAGTCAGAGCAGTACTAATGCAGGATCACGGACGCGATTTGCAGCCCATTGCCTACCTCAGTAAGAAATTACACAGAGCAGAACTGAACAGTCCCATCCATGACAAGGAAGTCTTAGCTTTAGTCATAGCCTTCAAGGCGTGGAGGTGTTACCTAGAGGGAGCCAAGACTACAGTCTACATTGACCAGTGTAGTCTCAAATACTTGAAATCGCAGCCGAACCTCACACGAGGATCGATGCGGTGGGCGGACTTCCTGGAAACTCACTTCCACTGCGACATCGTCTACAAGCCCGGGCTATACAACAAAGCAGACGCGTTGAGCCGTCCCGGTCATGTAGCACGCATCCAGCCCGACGGGATGAACCCTCTGGTCAAGGGTCTGTTCCAACATGGTTTTCTCCTTCTACTGTTGACCCTTCGTTGTTTCTATGCATCAACACCTCTTTGCTGCCATTCTACATCCTTGTGTACGTCGACGACTTGGTCTTTGCCACTGCTGACACTGCTGGACTCACCCATGTGAAGTAAAAGCTGCAGAAGAGACACACGTGCATAGACCTCGGTGAACTGCCCAGCTACCTTGGCTTGCAGATCACCCGGGACAGAGCACGCCACACCATTACCCTGACTCAGTCACACATGGTGCAGCAGGTCCTTCAGCGCTTCGGCTTCACGTACTCCTTGCCTCAGGCCACTCCTCTGCCTACTCGTCACTCGCTCTCAGCTCTGCCTTCGGATGAGTCAGTAGAGTTGAATGGCCCGTACCCAAAGCTTGTTGGCTGCCTCATGTACCTGATGACCTGCACTCGACCTGACCTTGCATACCCTCTTAGCATTCTCGTACGCTATGTTGCTCCTGGGAGACATAGACCGGAGCACATGGCCACAACAAAGAGGGTATTGCGCTACTTGTGCAATACGTGGGGCATGGGGCTTGTGCTTGGAGGGCAGAGTCCAGTGGTCCTCACTGGGCACGCAGACGCTTCTTGGGCTGATGACCAGGCTACGCAACGTTCGTCACAGGGCTACACCTTCAGCCTTGGTTCCGGCTCTGTTTCGTGGCGGGCTATCCGCTCGTCTTCTGTTCTCGGCTCCAGTTGTTAGGCTGAGATCTACGCCGGGGCCATGGCTGCTCAGGAGCTTCGCTGGCTCACCTACCTGCTGACTGACCTCCGAGAGCCGCCTCGTTCTCCTCCAATGCTGTACGTAGACAACAAGGCCATGCTGGCCTTGTGTCGAGAGCAGAGACTAGAGCACAGAACGAAGCACATTGCTCTTCGCTACTTCCTTGCTCGTGAGCTGTAGGAGCGTGGTCAGCTGCGTCTTGCGTACGTGGCCCCTGAGTCCAACACTGCTGATATCTTCACCAAGGCACTTGCGCCTTGTGATTATCAGCGCTTCTGTACTCAACTGGGTCTTGTGCCTGTCTTGCCTCACTTGCTCACCTCTTGACCTTGCTTGTACTGTTACATATATTTCTACTCCTGCTCTTGCTTGTCTAGCCTTTTATATATATGTGTGTACTCCTGCATGTGAACTGGCCTTGTGGCCTTGACCTTATGCTTGGACTGTGTGGTGACTTTGTGATCCACCCTGAGCTTGCTTTGCTTGACTGGTCTTGTGACCCCTTGTACTCCCCCACTTTGCCTATGGGGGTGTGTCAGATTTATATGACATGGCTATTGTAGGCTATTGTGGGGTAGCACATATGGGGTAGAGCTTTCTAGGGTTTGTATTTGTACCCAACTTTCACTTAGTCAATTTCATTCTCGTTTCAGTTTTCTCTGGCCATGCCTCAGAGACGAGGCAAGGAGGGGTGACCAAGGCGGTGGTGCCAACGAAGAGTCTGGTGGGAGAGCAGACAACACGAGCAGGGAGCAGACTCAGGACCAGACCTGGACGCCGCAGTAAACACCTGACTCGACGCAGCTACCTGGGCAGACTCAGCAGCAGGAGGAGACTCAGTAGTAAGGGCGTACAAGCTCAACCCTAGCCGACGGGTGAATGTGGCCAAGTGTCGGCCGAGCACACGTGCAGTGGGTCACTTGCTGACTCGCAGGAGTGAACTGGTCAACCCCCCTATATTGTAGGTCCGCTCCACTCACCAAGTTTGTAGAGAACGAGGGGAGGTAGAGACCATATAGGGTGCTAGAGGGGGCTGCCAGGCACGGTAGGACAGTGGAGAAGCTAGCAAGGACATGACCCCCAGAAGGGTCCGCCAGGGAGACTGAAACCGGCTGACTGAGCCGCGTAAGAGTGGTGCGGTCTCGAAAGAAGGAGCGTGACGCACCGGAGTCAAGAATGAAGGTGTGGAAGGCCTGAGCCGGCGTAGTACCTGAGAGAGCAGACTCACCTGCACCTGGGGCAGCAGAAGCACTGGCACCTGGGGAAGCAGACGCACTAGCACCTAGAGTAGCAGCCTCACCAGCACCTAGAGCAGCGGCCGCAGTGTCCGGGTCAGGCGGTACACACAGGTAACAGTCACCCGCAACACTAGTATCAACAGCATACATGGCGGCAAGGATAGCATCATAGTCAAGATCAAAGATCGCAACTGCGGCCTTAGACAGATCTCCCCAGCGAGGGATCTCTAACGCCTCAGGGAGCTGGTAACGCCACGCGTCCGTCAAGCGACAGCCCTGGGTGGAGTGCGGGCCTCCGCACTGCTCACCAGCTCGGTCGCCGGTACGGAGGACGTAAGCGCAGGGTCCAAACCCCCTACCACGCTGACGTGCAGTGTACCACTCACAAAGGTGCTGAGAGGACAGGGTCACACCACTCTGCTACTGCTCGCGCGGACCACCACCTGAGCCACTCCTCTGCATAGAGTCGCAAACCGTTCCACCACCGCCGCTGCCACCGCCGCCTCCGCCGCCTCCTCCACCTCCGCCTCCTCCGCCACCTCCGCTGCCTCTGCTCTCTCCGCCACCTCCACCGCCTCTGCCTCCTCCACTGCTGCCGCCGCCGCCACCCCCGCCACCACTCCCACCACCACCCCCACTCCCTTCACTGCCTCCACCCCCACCTGCCCCGCCTCTTCCAGCCCCTCCAGCGCCCTTGCCCCCCTTGCCCTTGCCAGAGCAGCGTCTCCCGCTCGGGGCAGACGCAGCGCCGGCCGACTCGAGACCAACAAGGTCGGCCGTAGCAGCAGAGGCAATAGAGGGCAAGAGGGGGGAGGGAGAACACCCCTCAAAGAAGGGGTTATGAGGGTCACCATGAGAGGCTCCTACAGCGACTATGCTCTTCTCTATCGCTAGGAGGGCATTCTCGAGGAGGTCAATGGTAAGAGTGGTGGGGAAAACTAAGAGGAAGTGGTCCCCGACTAGGCGGAGAGAGTCAGGGAGCCGGGTGACTAAGTAGTAGAGGGTGATGTACATGGGGGGGGGGGGGGGGGGGGGTTCTTGGCGCAGAACTCAGCAGGAAGCGCAGCGCGGTAGCGAGTGTCACTAGTGCGGAGGTGCGTAATGAGGTCAGCAACTGTGGGAAAGGCAGCATGGTCAGGGAAGAGGTACGGTAGCATGAGGCGGCTCAGTGCAGCGGTGGCAGGGGAAGAGTAGCGTGCAACTACAGCGTCGTACAAGGTCTGAGCACTCTTGTACTGGCTAAAATGTGCACGCTCAGTGGTCGGTAAGTGGCGGCGCACAGCAAGGCGAGCAGCAGCATCGCGCGTGGCCCATTGTGAGCGAACAGTGGCATCAGCATCAGCAGCAGGGGCAAGAGAGGCACCAGAAGTGAGGTCAAATAGGGAGAGGCCGTTTGCCCTATCGCACTAAAGAAACAGCTGGAGGTCATCGACCCAGACCTCAAAGTCAACGGCACGACCCTCAGCATCAAAAGTAAGGATACTGGGGGTAGTCATGACTGCAGTGGCCTAGGAGGAAGTGAGCTCACCAGTCCAAGGAATGAGGGGCCGGGGAGCACCGGTAGGTACAGCAGCTGCTAGACAGTAGGGCGGCTCGGCTGCTGGGCGGCTCGGCTGCGGGGCGGCTTGGATGCTGGGTGGCTCGGCTGCTCGGTATGCGGGCGGCTTGGATCCTGTGCTGCTCGGCGGCTCGGTCACTGGTGGCGATTATGGGGCCTCTAGGTTAGGGCGACGGGGCCGCTAGGGTAGGGCGACGGGGCCGCGGGTGGTGGTGGGGCTGCAAGTGGCGACGACGGGGCCGCTGGTGGTGGTGGTGGGGCCGTAGGTGGCGGCGGGGTCGCAGGTGGCGGCGGGGGCGCAGAGGGGCCGAGACGGGGCCGTAGGGGGGCTAGACGGGGCCGTAAGGGGCCGTAAGGGCAGCGCGAGGGGCCTTAGAGGGCGGCGCGAGGTGCCGTAAGGGCGGCCAAAGGGGCCACTAAGGGTGGCTCGAGGGTAGGTAGGGCACACGAAACGCGACTCGGGTAGGAGTGAAGCGCGCTCCAGGCAGGGAAGAAAAATTCGTGGTGGGCCCTAGACAATATTCCCACTCGGGAACCTGCTCTAATACCATGACGAAAAGTGAGAATGGATGATTGGACTATGAAAGAGTTGGGTACAAGTACTAACCCTAATTGGGTTGTACCCCTTATGGGCTACCCCACTACAGCCTACACAAATGTATAAGCTATAATGTTCTGACACGGAAGACTTTGGCGAAATAACTATTGGCAAAATAGGCGAAGAAGTAACTTAGTAATTGTTGAATGAGATTTTTGGTTTATAATAGCAAGTACAAGCAAGGTTTATATAGCATGCAAGAGCGGAAGTTGGAAAGTAGTTCGTGGGACAAGGAATGGTAAAGCAAGAAGACTAGAGTGCCACGTGGTGGATGAGAATCGTGGAAATCTGGAAGAGATTGGTAGAAGATAAGGTTGGGACCACTATTTAGGGTAATTAGCCCTTGAATGGTAAAGTACCCCGTAACAACCTGCGATCAACCCTGAGCCGATCCCTGGCTAAGACCCACTTGGGATCATAACATGGTATGAGAGCTACTCATGGTTTCTTCGCAACTTCACTTCCGTAAAATTCGCCAAACCAAGATCTGGCGAGCGGCACACGCTCCAAGACCAAGATGGCCGGAGGATCCGGAGGCCAAACAAATATGACGGCTAAAGGACAAACCAATCCGATTGCGATAAATAAGGCGACAACTACAATCAGCACTGCCGCACTCGAGTAGTTATTTTCGCAACGATCAACTATGGAGAAAGACCTCCAAGCATTGCGGAATGGCGACGCGGGAGCCTCTTCCCAACTAGCACAACCTAGTCAACCGGCTACAAAAAGCCACAATACCGCCCCGCACATCTTCTCCCCCAACATAGACAAATCAAAAACAATGCCCCCGACATCCAAGTGATGAAGTCATCAATTCTGCGCAAGCACGCTTTCTCAGCGTTTAAAAAAATAAGACTGCCGCCGCGTTTGACGGCAAATATTTGTATACATAGAGTTTTGACCTTGAGCTCCTCCTACAAACAGCGGAGATCTACCACTAATTCGACGGCTCCTATTCTAAACGGGTGGAAGACACCGACGACGCCCATGCTCAATATTACAGCGAGTCCCTTATGGCGTACAGTGTAGAACTGTGCAACATGACGCATGCGGAGCAACTCCGCATTCGCTCTTACAAAGAGAGTGCCGCTCCAGCCTTAAAAGCCCAGAAGCACCTCGTTGAGGTATATCAGCCAAAGGATTCCGTCACCTCCAGCAGGCTTCTGCGCATACAGGTAGGTAGCTAGTATCTCTAGGAGAAATGCATCCAATGCTACTCTATGATTCAGTTTTGACCATGGAGCACTGAGAAGCCAAAGGGCCATTGGTGCTTAACTTAGAGCCACCATTCAGCCGCTACTCCCTTCCCCCCCTTTTCCTCATTTCCCTCACTGTTTCAAACTCATCTCGCTTCTCTCTATATGATGCTCCCCTGTTCCCTTCTTTTTCTCCCACTTCTCCCTTTCCTTCCCATTTTCTCCTCTTTTCCCTTATTTGTGAAACGAAAGAACACGAATGAATGAACTATGAAATGAGTGAGTACAAGTACCAACCCTAATTGGGTTGTACCCCGTATGGGATACCCCACTATAGCCTACACAACACCATAAGCTATAATGTTCTGACACACCCCCATAGGCAAAGTGGGGGAGAACAAGGGGTCACAAGACCTGTCAAGCAAAGCAAAGCAAAGCTCAGGGTGGATCACAAAGTCACCACACAGTCCGAGCACAAGGTCAAGGCCACAAGGCCAGTTCACATGCAAGAGGAGACACAGATATATATAAGGCTAAACAGGCAAGAACAGGTATATATATATGCAAGAGTACAAGCAAGGTCAAGAGGTGAGTAAGTGAGGTAAGACAAGAACAAGTCCCAGCTGAGTGCAGAAGCGCTGATGATCACAAGGCGGAAGTGCCTTGGTAAGAACATCAGCAGTGTTGGCCTCAGAGGCCACGTACGCAAGTCGCAACTGACCACGCTGCTGCAGCTCACGAGCAAGGAACTAGCAGAGAGCAATGTGCTTCGTTTTGTGCTCCAAGTGCTGCTCTCGACACAAGGCCAGCATGGCCTTGTTGTCTACGTACAGCACTGGAGGAGAACGAGGCGGCTCTCCAAGGTTAGTCAGCAGGTAGGTGAGCCAGAAAAGCTCCTGTGCAGCCATGGCCCCGGCGTAGATCTCAGCCTCACAACTGGAGCCGAGAACAGAAGACGAGCAAGTAGCCCGCCACAAGACAGAGCCAGAACCAAGACTGAAGGTGTACCCCTGCAACGACCGCTGCGTAGCCTGGTCGTCAGCCCAAGAAGCGTCCGCGTGGCCAGTGAGGACCACTGGACTCCGCCCTCCAAGCACTAGCCCCATGCCCGACGTACTGCACAAGTAGCGCAACACCCTCTTTGCTGGAGCCATGTGCTCTGGTCGGTGTCTCCTAGGAGCAACATAGCGTGCAAGAATGCTCAGAGGGTATGCAAGGTCAGGTCATGTGCAGGTCATCAAGTACATGAGGCAGCCAACAAGCTCTGGGTACGGGCCACTCGACTCTACGGACTCATCCGAAGGCAGAGCTGAGAGGGAATGGCTAGTAGCCAGAGGAGTGGCCTGTGGCGAGGAGTACGTGAAGCCGAAGCGCTGAAGGACCTGCTGCACCATGTGTGACCGAGTCAAGGTAATGGTGCGGCGTGCTCTGTCCCGAGTGATCTGCAAGCCAAGGTAGCTGCGCAGTTCACCCAGGTCTGTGCACGTGTGTCTCTTCAGCAGCTCGGACTTCACGTAGGCGAGTCCAGCAGTGTCCGCTGTGGCAAAGACCAAGTCGTCGACGTACACGAGGATGTAGAACGGCGGCAGAGAAGTGTCGGTGCGTAGAAACAGCGACGGGTCAGCAGTATAGGGAGCAAACCCAAGCGTAGTCCCCAGTGTGTCGTGCCACTCACGCGGTGCCTGGCGAAGACCGTAGACTGCCCGCCGGAGGCTCCACTGGGTGCCAGGAGGGAAAGTCCCAGATAATCCAGGTGGACGGCGCAGCCAGATCTCCTCGTGCAGGCTACCCTGCAAGAACGCAGTGCTCAAGTCAAGAGAGTGAAGCTCGTAGTCGCTCTGAGCTGCTATGTGTAGCAGCATCCAAAGAGTGGTCATCTTCAAGGTGGGAGAGAAGGTCTGAAAGTAGTCAACTCCCTACCGCTGACTGAAGCCACGAGCGACGTACCGCGCCTTGAAGACAGGTGGAGAGCCTGGCGGCCGCTTCACCCTGAAGATCCACATGCCACTGACGATGTTCGCCCCAGGAGGGGGAACCGCGTCAACGTAGGTGCCTGTGGACTTCCAGGAAGCCATCTCTACATCCATAGCTGCCTGCCACTGAGAGGAGTAGGGACCCTCTATGGCCTCCGCGTAAGACCGCGGAGTCGGGATGTATAGTGCATCCGGGTCTCCCTTAGGGGCAAGCAGTACAGATGGGAGATGAGGTGAAGCAGCAGCCAGACACTGGAACTCCTCCTGCCTGTCCTCAAGGACTTCCGTGCCAATAGCACACTCACCCCCGACGGACGGAGGACAGACAGACGCAGACTCAGCAACAAGACTGGCAGCGTAGTCTAGATGACAGCGAGCAGCAAAGTCGACGAGCTCAGCACCAAGCGGAGACGCAGCAGTGGACTCAAACGAGGGGTCAGTGACGAGAGTAGCAAGGAGCCGCGTGACAGTAGGACTGGCAGCACGAAGAGAGTCCGACTCCGGGTCGGCAAGCGCAGGAAAAGAGAACGCAGGAGGAGAAGGCAAAGGGGCACGCAGAGGAGCAATGGATCGACGCAGAGACATCTGGTGCATGCCAGGGACAGGAGGAGGACGCTGACGCGAACCGCGACCACTAGCGCGAGCAGCACGAACAGGCGACGCGGGACGAGGCGCAGGCTCACGACGCTCAGCAAGACCTCCAGTAAGACCGCTGTAAGGAGAGGGAGCAGGCAGTGGGGAGGTGGGCGCTAACAATGACGGTGACTGGACAGGTGGCGGACACTCTACAGGAGGAGAAAGCCCAATAACTTGCTGCAAGAGGGGAACGAAGTACGACCGAGGCCGCTCGGCAACTCCAGACACAGCAGGGACAGCACCAGCACCCTCAGCGGCAGCACCAGCGCCAATAGCACCTCCAGCGGCAGGACCTCCAGCAGCACCAGCAGCAGGACCACCGCTAGGAAAGACAGCAGCAGTCTCAGCACCAACACCCTCAGCAGCTCCAGCTCCAGTAGGACTCGCAGCCCCAGCAGCTCCGGGACCGGCGGCACCAGCACCCTCAGCGACTGAAGAAGCTCCAGCTCCAGAAGCACGCCTCAAGCAGCGAGCAAACCACTCGCGCAGCTCCTGTGGAGAGAGTGGCTCCCGCCGAGACAGAGCACCCGGAGAACCTCCAGGCCCAGCACCGCCAGACGCCACAAGGGGAGGTCCAGCGGCCGCAGGCTCTGCACCTCCAGGCGCAGCAGCCCCAGACGCAGCACCCCAAGGCTCAGCAGCTCCTGACGCAACACCCCCTGGCTCAGCACCTCCTGACGTAGCACCCCCAGACTCAGCACCCCCAGGCTCAGCACCCCCAGTCGCAGTACCCTGAGGCTCAGCACCCCTAGGCGTAGAACCCCCTGTCGCAGCACCCCGAGACTCAGCACCCCCAGACTCAGCACCCCCAGGCTCAGCACCCACGCGCACGGCACCCCCAGAGTCATCACCCCCAGGCTCAGTACCTGCAGCAGTACCAGAGTCACCAGCAACCTCGACCGGCTCGACGGGGTCAACCTGGGACACACCAGACGGGGCAGGACCCTGAGGAGGAAGGGGGTCTACCAGGGGGGGACCTTGCACAAGGAAGTGCAGCGGTGGGGGGAGGGAAGGAGTGCGGTAGGGGAAGAGACAGTAGAAGGGGACCGACTCGTCGAATGTGACGTGCTATGAGGACAGAACACGACGAGAGGAGGGGTGGTAGAACTGCCACCCTGGGGCATTAGGGGGGAAGCCTAGGAAGACACAGGGAGCAGCACGAGGGGAGAGCTTGTCCGCGGACAAGTCGCAGACAAGCGCCCGAGATCCCCTGACACGGAGCGCAGAAGCATCGCCGACCTTCCCCGTCCACAGCAAAGCTGGGGAGGTCTCTGGTCAGGAGACCCTGTGGTGAAGGTTGAGCTGATGCGCCGCGTACCGAACCGCAAACGGCCACAGAAAATGGGGGGCAGCCGCATGCATCATGGACGTACGAGCGACGTCCATGACCATGCCAATGCGGTGCTCAGCAATCCCATTTTGCTGTGGGGAGTCCGGAAGCATCAAGGTCTAGCGGATGCCCCGTGCACGACACTAGGCCCGCAGAAGGCGAGAGGAGAACTCCCCACCTCGGTCAGAGTGCAGACGCAGAACAAGAAAGTCCGAGCCGAAGCTCCTCCTGAGCTGGAGACGAGCTGCGCTGATCCAGTCAATCAGCACCTCAGTGACATCACCCTTGCTGCGCAAGGGGAAGATTGTGGTGTAACGCGAGTGGTCGTCAACCACCAGCAGGAAGTAGCGCTCGTGACCCTGCCCACGGACGCGGCCCGGGCCCCACACGTCCATGTGAAGTGTCTGGAGAGGAGCCTCTGTCGGAGGAAACTGGGAAGAGTGAGGGGCAGCCCGGAGGCGCCCCTCGACACAGGGGACACAGGAAGGTTCTGGTCCCAAAGGAAGGGGAGGGAGAGACCGGGGGAGACCAGAGACAAGGACACAGGAAGCCATGCCCCGAAGACGAGTCAAGGAGGGGTGGCCAAGACGGTGGTGCCACAGAAGAGTCTCGTGAGACAGGAGGCGACACGAATAGGGGGCACACTCAGGACCAGACCGGGACGCAGCAGCAATCATCCGACCCGACACAGCTACCGGGCCAGACGTAGGGACAGGAGGAGACTCAGTGGTCAGGGTGTAGAGGCTCGACCCCGCCCGATGCGAGAATGTGGCCAGGTGCCGGCCTGTGCGTGTGTCCATGCAGTGGGTCACCCGCTGACTCGCATGAGTAAACTGGTGAACCCCTGCATCCTGTAGGTCAGCACCACTCACCAAGTTCGTCGAGAACGAGGGGAGGTACAGACCACACAGGGTGCCCGAGGGGGCAGCCGGACACGGGAGGACAGTGGAGAAGTGAGAGAGGACAGGAACCCCAGAGGGGTCAGCCAGGGAGACTGCAACCGGTCGACCAAGCGGTGTGAGTGCGGTGCGGTCTCGAAAGAAGGAGCGAGAAGCCCCTGAGTCAAGTGTGAAAGTGAGGGTGGCCGAAACCGATGTAGTACCTGAGAGCGCAGCCTCACCAGTACCTGAGAGTGCAGACGCACTGGCACCTAGAGCAGAAGTCTCACAAGCACCTAGCGCAGCAGTACCAATGCCCGGGTCGGGCGGGAAACACCGGTAACAGTCACCCTCCTCACTAACAGTCACAGCATACATGGCAGCAAGGATAGCATCAAAGTTAAGATCAAAGATAGCTACACCTGCCCTAGACAGCTCTCTCCGGTGGGGAATCTCACTAGCCTCGGGGAACTGCTGACGCCAAGCGTCCATCAGGCGGCCAAAGCAGCACTGGGTGGGGTGGGCACCCCCACACTGCTCACCCGCGCGATCGCCGGAACGAAGGACGTAGGTGCACGGACCAGAACCCCCACCCCTCTAACGCTGCGTTTACCACTCACGGAGCTGCTGGGGCGGGGAGATGTCCCACGAACGCTGTTGCTGCTGCTGCTGCTGGCGCTGACCAACACCAGAGCCGCTCCGCTGCTGGGCACCACCCCTACCGGCTCCACCTCCTCCGCCACCGCCGCCTCCACCTCCGCCACCACCGCCTCCTCCGCTCCCACCGCCGCCGCCGCCACCACCTCCGCTGCTGCCACCACCACCACCACCGCCTCCGCCACTACTCCCACCGCCACCCCCACTCCCTCCGCCGCCTCCACCTCCACCTCCACCGCCCCCTCCTACTCCACCCGCGCCCTTGCCCCCCTTGCCCTTGCCAGGGCGGCGCCTCCCGCTAGGGGCAGACGCCGCGCCGACCGACTCAAGACCAAGCAGGTCGGCAGAAGCAGCAGAGGCAACAGAGGGCATCAGGGGGGAAGGAGAACTCCCCTCAAAGATGGGGGTGCGAGGGTCACCACGAGAGGCTCCTATAGCAACGATGCTCTTCTCTGTTGCCAGGAGGGCCTTCTTGAGGAGGTTGACAGTGAGAGTGGTGGGACAGACTGAAAGGAAGTGGTCTCTGACTACGCGAAGGGAGTTAAGGAGGCGTGTGACTATATAGTAGAGAGTGATGTACATAGGGGGGGGGTGCTTGGCGCAGAACTCAGCAGGAAGGGCGGCGCGGTAGCGAGTGTCACTAGTGCGGAGGTGGGTAATGAGGTCAGCGACAGTGGGAAAGGCAGCGAGATCAGGGAAGAGGTACGGTAGCATGAGGCGGCTCAGTGCAGCAGTGGGAGGGGAAGAGTAGTGGGCAACTACAGCGTCGTACAAGGTCTGAGCACTCTTGTACTGACTAAAGTGGGCGCGCTCAGTGGTAGGGAGGTGGCGATGCACGGCAAGACGTGCAGCAGCATCGCGGGTGGCCCACTGACTGCGAACAGTGGGGTCAGCATCAGCAGCAGGAGCAGGAGAGGCGCTAGAGGTGAGGTCAAAGAGAGAAAGACTGTCTGCCCTATCGCACTGTAAAAACAGCTGTAGGTCGTCGACCCAGACCTCAAAGTCAATGGCTCGACCCTCAGCGTCAAAAGTGAGGACACTAGGGGTAGCCATGACAACAGACTAGCACTGCAAGTAGTGGGGAAGGGCACGCGGTAGCAGTGGGGCGGTGCCGTGCTCACCAGACAGGGCAGGTCGGGCGGCTCGGTAGTAGGGCGGATCGGGAGTGGGGCGGCTCGGCAGTACTGCAGCTCGACGACCTGGCGGCTTGGCGGCTCCTCGGCGGCTCGGCTGCTCCTGGGCGGCTCGGCTGCTGCTGGGCAACTCGGCTGATGCTGGGCGGCTCGGCTGCTGCTGGGCGGCTCGGCCGCTGCTGGGCGGCTCGGGTGGCGTAGGGAAGGGCGGCTGGGCCGCGAAGGTGTGGGCGGCGGGGCCGCGTAGGTAGAGGCGGCGGGGCCGCGAGAGAAGGGCGGCGGGGCCGCGAGAGAAGGGCGGCGGGGCCGCGAATGAAGGGCGGCGGGGCCGCGAAGTGCAGGGGGGGCGGCAGGGCTGCGACGTGCACGGCGGCGGGGCCGCTAAGGAAGGGCGGTGGGGCCGCGACGTGCATGGCGGCGGGGCCGCAACGTGCAGGGCGGCGAGGCCGCGACTTGCAGGGTGGCGGGGCCGCGAATGAAGGGCGGCGGGGCCGCGTAGTGCAGGGGGCGGCAGGGTTGCGTCGTGCAGGGCGGCAGGGCTGCGAAGGAAGGGCGGCGGGGTCGCGAATGAAGGGCGGCGGGGCCGCGAAGAACAGGGCGGCGGGGCCACTAAGGAAGGGCGGCGGGGCCGCGACGGGCAGGGCGGCGGGGCCGCGACGTGCAGGGGGGCGGGGCCGCGAATGAAGGGCGGCGGGGCCGCGTAGTGCAGGGGGCGGCAGGGCCGCGACGTGCAGGGCGGCAGGGCCGCGAAGGAAGGGCGGCGGGGCCGCTAAGTGCAGGGCAGGGCGGGGCCGCGACTGAAGGGCGGCGGGGCCTCTTAGGTAAGGGCGGCGCGACGCGCCGCTAGGGGCGACACCGAGGGTCGCTAAAAAAAAGGGGAAAACGCGCCTTGGGGCGCGCTTCGGTGGGCCCTAGAAGCAGTCCCTAGGAGGGAACCTGCTCTGATTCCATGTGAAACGAAAGAACACGAATGATTGAACTATGAAATGAGTGAGTACAAGTACCAACCCTAATTGGGTTGTACCCCGTATGGGATACCCCACTATAGCCTACACAACACCATAAGCTATAATGTTCTGACACACCCCCATAGGCAAAGTGGGGGAGAACAAGGGGTCACAAGACCAGTCAAGCAAAGCAAAGCAAAGCTCAGGGTGGATCACAAAGTCACCACACAGTCCGAGCACAAGGTCAAGGCCACAAGGCCAGTTCACATGCAAGAGGAGCATAAGCTATAATGTTCTGACATTATTCACCCCCACTTTCCCCTGTCTACCCCAGCCTCTTCCCTCTCCCTCTGCAGCCATCCATGCTCTTGCTTTAACAGTCCCTCAGCCGCCACCTTTCCCAGCACTCTCCCTCCTCCCCACTACTCCTCACCTTGCTTGCCGCTGGCCAAAATGATTGGCACGTGAGATTGGCCTCGTGCCATGTGTCAGCTTACCACTGGTTGCCTTGCCATCCCACGCGCACACCAATCCCACCCTTCCCAGCACTCTCCCTCCTCCCCGCTGCCCCTCGCCTCACTTGCTGCTGGCCGAAGTGACTGGCATGTAAGATTGGCCTGGTGCCACGTGTTTGCTTGTCACTGTCTGCCTTGCCATCCCACACATACATCAGATGTGCAGATATAAGAGACACATATGCACCCAACGCTCTCCCAAATGATCCTTTGCATTAATCAGCATTCTGCATCTCTTTTCTTCTGCATTCACTTCTTCTGGTAGCTCCACCATTCCTCACTTAGGACTGTTGGATCTAGGTCGAATCTACTTTTCTCAGCTCCACCATTCCTCCCTCACAATCTCTGTCTTAACTTCACTTCACACACTTTACACGCCCATCCTCCTTACTCTCCTCCTCTAACCCTTCCACCCTCCTCGGGCCCCTTCCCCCACCCTCATATTGTTTCCCCTTTCCTCCCCCCGTCCCCCACCCTCCTATTGTTTCCCCTTTCCTCCCCCTCACCCCCTTCCGCCACCCTCCACTCTAGCTTCCTTCTAGGTCCGTTCATGGACGTGCGTGCAACAGGTTTGAGGCTCTTATCCGATCGTTGGTCGGGTCATGGTCGGATGGGAATGCACCCACCCCGTGTGCAGGTCCTGCGCCAACTGGTCGCGCGACGAGTTGAGTAAAACCGGTGCTCCCTGCAGGCATGTGGCATGCTTGAGTTGCTGGGTCGATCAGCCACCATCAGTGCTCATTACGAGGGGGGCCGGCCCGTCGACGACTCCCAAGGCAGTTTTCAATGTCGTACAGCACGCAGTAGGCTCCCATGGTCCTCAGCTCCTTGTCTATGATTCTGAATTTTCCCTTGAGACTTCCATTCACCTGCTCCACTGGCATGCGCTCTCTATTCTATTGGTTGTTGAAAATTGCTTCTGCATTGCTTAGTTTTCTGTTTGTAGGCACCTTGTAGTATGTAGTTTCATAGGGCATAGGCGGCATCATCGACCAGGATCCTTCCATGTAATTCCCTGTTTTCAATTCTTACCTTTGCACCACAAATGTTCCACACCCTACCGTCATTCACTCTACCCAACCAGCTCACATCCTAGTCCCAAATGTACCCCCCAACATCAACCGTGAGTTGCAGACAATCGACTTTTGCGATTATGGAAGTCTGATTTGTGGTCACCAAATCCACGCACGTGGATGAACGTACCGTCTACAGCACCCACCACACCGGGAATCCCTGCAAGGCGAATGAACTCTTGCTCCATCCGCGGGAGGTCCTCTTCAGTAGGCCAGCACACCCACAGAGGCCAGAGATCGTTGATTGCGAAAACCTCAAAGTCGTCGCAAATCACTATGGCAGTGTTGCGGCTCACACAAAGGTGCTGCGCGAGCATTCGGTATGACCAGCCGTGCCCTAAGCGGGTTAGAGCCAAGGCCAAGCGGAGCTTGGGACTCAGAAACAGCCGCTCAATAGGTTGCCGTGCCATGGTATATTCAACTAGCAAGTGTTGGAGGTTGCGTGAGGCAACTTTGCCCCCTAACCACCGAATGTGTTACTTCTGGTTGGATTCGCTGCAGGTTTCGTGAAGTTGCAGGTTGACTTCGGAAGACCTGCAGTTCGGTGCCACATGGTAGCACAAGAACAATCAAGACCGAAGGAGATTTTGATTCGGTGAAATTCCAGTTCCAAATTTCACCCCTTCGAAATGTCACTTGAACATTCGCAAGTGTAGCGGTTCGAGGTTACTTGTGCGACTCGATATATTGCAGTTCATATAAATCCGTTTGCTTTGTATTGCATGAGTCATACTGAAACTTGAATCACTTTGTACACAGTGCAACTCGACACAAATTCCAAAGAGCTCCAATCCTTGATTTCAAGAGCACTACCTAGCACATAAACGCCTATATCTCGCTTGATACTTAGGTGATCGAGGTGATCTACGACTCATTGGAATGCTAACAGAGTGCCCTACTGATTAGTATAACTCCTAGTTCCTGTCAACAAGAGGAGAAGCCTCTTCAACAGCAAGTAGCAAAATACATGCTTGTAAATGCTAAACAAGGTCATGAAAATGTTGTCATATAATTCGTGAGGAGACTGAGCCAGCACAGACGGACCTGACCGCGGGTGCGCAACATGGAGCCTTCGCGGGCGGCAGCTGATGCAGCATTGACTAAAGCAAGGAGCGCCACAAGCAATAGGCACCAAAACCACCGTCACCTGGCCATGGTGAAGCAAGGTAGACGCTCGACTAAGCTGATTTCCCATTCCGATGTAGTGTGGTAGCCAAGAAGTTAGGTAGAATAAGTAGTGGCTTGAGTTGGGCGTTGATTAAGTTGTTGGTAGGCTTCTAGGAAGTTAGCGAGAGAGGTGCGGTTCGTAAGAAACACAGAATAGTGGGCCATGCGAGGTTGGAAAAGCGTGGGTTTTGGCTCTTCTTCATTCCCGCTACCAAGCGCCCATTCTTTCTATTTTTGGGGGTGTTGGCATTTCCACATTCCCTCATGAGGGAGTTGAATTTGTTGACTACAGCGAATCATCATTTTGGATTGTTTGTTTCTAGTTGTGCGAGCTCCGTCAGTTTTGGCACAGTCGACTCGCAACTGGAGCGGGTTACCGCTCGCGGCTCACGTCAATTGTGTTACGGATGATGAGTTTCGTCTGGGCAGGGCTATGAGTCTGCCTGGTGCAATTTCGGCCCTGTTTACCACGACCACTTGAACGCGAGTGGCAGGGGATGGGCGAGAGATCTTGAAGGTGCAAAGTGTTGTGTGATGCAATCATATGCATTCTCGTCTGTTTGCCTCCCATCATGTGTTCGTGCGCTGCTTGCGTGGTGTGAGCGTGTGCAAGAATTTGTGTTTTGTGCGGTTTAGTTTTTGTGAGTGTGTGTGAACGTTATTTGGCTTGAGCAGATATCTGAAGTGACTCCTCTGCTCAAGAGCTTTCCGACGAACCAAGTATCGCTTCAATCGGAGCACGAACAAGAAAGTTACGAACGTTGGAGTTCGTATGCTTTTCATATTTGATTGTGGCAACTGTGGGAAGTTGTGGGGTTGACTCAATATGGGGTACAGAATTTTGGGGGTTGGGAAATTCGTCTTCTCAACTATAGTTGCTGCCAAATGGTTGGGTGAAACCAAACCAGGTTGGCAAGTGTGGCCAAGTTGGGTTGAGGTGGATTGTGGAGGTTGGGATTGTGACAAAGGTCAAAGTTGGGTTGCCTATGGGGAAGGGAATTGTGTGGCATGGGGTTTTCTTGGTTGGGGACACTCTTGGGACCTACCCTCTCATCCTCCTCATCCCTTTCACCTGGTTTAATGCTACTCTAACTCTCTTGTGTGAACTTGTGTGAGACTCTTGTGATTGAGTTAAGTTCTTATGGCAGCATACCCCCCTATGCGCCGAAATTGATACGTCAAGATTTACTTCACCTCTTGATACGATTCAAATTGGAAATTGTAGTCACGGACTAGGGCTACATCATATCTGAGTTTGGTGAAGTTTTGATGGTGAAGTTTTCGTCCACGGCGTTTCTCGTGAACGCGACTATTCTGTCCAGAAATAGAGACCAACGAATTTGAGAAATCTAGGTACCTAATCTTCATAAAATCCGTCCTTAGTCTCTAACACGAAGGAAGTTGCCAATTACGTCCGGGGGCTCGCCCGCGGACTGAAATTTCACCAAGGGGTCGGGAAGAGGGACTAGGGGATCGAGCACCTCCCTCCCTCCTTCCTTGAGGGCTGAAATCCCCCGTTTATCCCTTTGCGCACCCCCGCAAAGAGTGGTGTGCACGAGGGATTGCCAAAGGATGGGCGAGGGATCTCTGCTTGCAGGGCAGGATTTTGAGCTGCATATTCATGACCCCCTGCACCACCCCCCAAAAGTGGGTGTTCACTGTAAGAATCCGTCCTGGATTAACTGACGCCACAGACTCAGCTTAGCGAGTTAAAACCAGAGCCTAGAATCAATCCGACGGGCTCGGAGCAAGGATTCCGTAGCAACTTAGATCACTGAAATCGCCCAAGAGTTGAGAGAGAAAACGTTGTTCATATGAAGATAGGTACACAAGTCGTACAAGGAATATGCTCTCTGTTTTGCTCTCTGGATTTATAACTAAAACACACATGCAGAATTGTAACATCGAACCGCGCGCGACTCGCCAGAAATTCGGACTCAAGATCGCGTCCAATTTCCGCGACGTCCGCGTTCATAATTTCGGACTTTGCCGGGTTCGTTTCTTCACGCCGACAATCGTGTGTTACAAGGATCAATAGCGAGTGTAGCGAAATGTTCGTAACATTCGCTTGCACCCTTGCTATTTTCGTGCATGCTTGTGGGGCTGCCAAGTGTCGCCCCCACAAATGTTCGGACCCAACTGAGGGAAGTTCGGTTGCGTGGCGACGCGGACAATCCGCCGTCACCCCAACCTTCCAAGAACGAACCCTCCCTTGGTCCGAGTCAAGGGAGGTCTTCGCGTGGGGGGCAATCCCGTCCCCCACACTTCCAACACTCCCCCTTGCACCCCACACACACCTAAGCATGCAAGCCTACCCTAGCACAACATGCATGAAGAGCATCTCTAGGCAATGGCTTGGTGAGGAAGTCCGCGGGTTGGGAGTTGGTCTTGATGTAACGAAGCTCGACTTCGTTGTCTTCAACGAGCTTGCGAATGAAGTGGTGGCGGATTTGAATATGCTTGGTCCTTCCATGAAGGACCGAATTCTTGGCTAGGCCAATGGCGGCTTGGTTGTCCACGTAGATGGGAGTGGGGCCTTCTTGTTTGTAACCAAGCTCGGCAAGAAGGCGACGTAACCAAACCGCTTCCGTACCACCACGAGTGAGCGCCACATACTCCGCTTCGGTGGAGCTAAGTGCAATCAAGTTATGGCGCTTGCTTTGCCAACTTATTGCACCTCCCACGAGGGTGAAGATGTAGCCCGAAGTGCTTTGGCGGGTTGAAGGATCTCCCGCCCAATCCGCATCCGTGTAGCCTTGTAGCACCACGGGTCCCTTCTCGTAGTGCAACCCCATACGAGTGGTCCCTTTGATGTAGCGAAGGAGACGTCGTGACGCTCGCACATGCTCGACCATGGGGTTGGAGACGACACGTCCAAGCACTCCAACGGGAAAGGAGAGGTCGGGTCGCGTGCTCACCGCGGCATACATGCATGACCCAACAACCGAGTGGAAAGTCTTGGCGCTCTCGGGATCCATCGGTTTTTCATCGCTCACCGCCAAGGGATGAAACGCCGCTTCCATAGGTGTCGGTGTATGCTTGCTCTCGATCATGCCGAAGCGATCCACCACACTCTCCAAGTACTTATGTTGGTGGAGAGCGAGGGTCTTGTTCCCTCGATCACGATCAATGTGCATCCCTAGGTAGTGGGAGACGGCGCCGAGGTCACGCATGGAGAATTCGGCGGCAAGCTTCGTCTTCACGTCCGCTACAAGGGTCTTGCAATCCGACACGAGGAGAAGGTCGTCAACGTAGAGGAGAAGAACGAGCTTCTTCTCGTCCTTGTTGAGCACGTATAGCGCGTGGTCACACTCGCTCCGCACGAACCCCAAGGAGAGCAAGTGATCGTCGATCCTCGTGTACCATGCACGAGGGCTTTGCTTGAGGCCATAGATCGTGCGCTTGAGCTTGCACACGCGGTCGGAGTCGTCGTCGAACCCGGGAGGTTGCTTCATGTACACCTCCTCCTTGAGACGACCGTAGAGAAACGCCGTCTTCACGTCGAGTTGTTCCACCTCCAAGTCGAGTGCTCCCGCCAACGCCAATAGAGTGCGCAACGTAGCGGACTTAGCGACGGGAGCGAACGTCTCGTTGTAGTGAAGACCCTCCTTTTGAGTATAACCTTGCGCCACCAACCGCGCCTTGTACCGCTCCATTTCTCCGTTGGGGCCGAGCTTCTTCTTGAAGACCCAACGAGAGCCAACGAGGTAGGCGCCCGGGGGCATGGGAACGAGCTCGTAGACGTCGTTCGCCATGAGCGAATCGTACTCCTCTTGAAGCGCGCGTTCCCATTCCGCCGCTTCCGCCGAGCTCATGGCGCCTTGGTAGGTGGACGGTGTGTCGGTGTATGCCTCAAGACACATGGCATCTCCCCCTCCCTCATCATCCCCCGCCACAAGAGAGTAGCCATCCAACTTGGAGTTGGGACGAGGAGTCCTCCGAGTGCGGGTGGATGCGAGGGTGGGAGTGATTTTAGGAGGAGGAGATGAAGGGTCACTTTCCTTGGCATGTTCTTCATCCGCACTCACTCCAACCGCACCCGATCCATTCTCCCCCTCACTCGTACGAGGAGGAGAAGCCGTAGGAGCAACATCCACCTCATCCGCGGCATCCAAGGGGGGAGGGACAATGATGACCGAGGGCACGTGCATCGACGTGGACGGGAAGGTGTCTTCGTAGAACACCACGTCGCGCGACACCACGAGCTTCCCGTGCTCCAAGTCCCACACACGCCACGCCTTGTGATCCGCGCTTGGACCCAAGTACATCGCCACCCGCGCCTTCGCCTCAAGCTTGGTCCGTGTGGCATCCGGGACATGGTAGTAGCACGTACACCCAAACGTGCGAAGGTCGGTGACGTCCGGCTTCGTACCGCTCCAAGCCTCAAGAGGCGTCGTGTTTGGCAACGCCTTGGTCACGCACCGGTTGCGAATCCATGTTGCCAACGTAACCGCCTCACCCCACCAATGCTTCTCCGCTTGAGCATGGGAGAGGAGACTCCGTGCCGACTCCATGAGCGTACGGTTCAAGCGTTCGGCCGCACCATTTTGTTGAGGCGTGTACGGCGTCGAAAACTCATGCACGATCCCACGCCCTTCCAACCAATCGCCGAGCTCCCGAGCGGTGTATTCGCCACCGCCATCCGAGCGAAAGCGCTTCACCTTGAAGCCGCTTTCCGTCTCCACATCCGCTACCCATTTCTTGATAGCGGTTGACGTGGCGTCCTTGCTCTTGAGAAGCCGAATCCAACACATCCGCGTCGCGTCGTCAAGGAGCGTGAGGACGTAGCGCGCGCCGCCCTTCGACGCGGGAGTGATGGGTCCACACAAGTCGGTGTGAATGAGCTTGAGAGGTTCGGTGGCGTTGGGCTTCGTGCTTGGTGGAAATGGCTTCCGAGCCATTTTCCCTTCAAGGCAACCGACACACTTCTCGTCGTCTCCACTCGAGCGCAAAAACTCCAAGCCATTGACAACCCCCTTCGTTGCCATAGCTTGAATAGCGGCGTGGTTGAGATGGCCATACCGATTATGCCATGTCGAGAGAGTTGTTGTCGAGGTAGCCGCTTGAGCCGTCGCCATACTCGGAAGAGCGTCGAGCATGAAGAGTCCTCCCGCTTGGCGTGCCGTGCCGATGTGTACGCCGTCCGCCGTGCTCAACGCCATCGTGGTCCCTTCAATATTCACACGCATCCCCTTGCGTGTAAATTGGGAAACGGATAGGAGGTTGGCGCCGAGCCCGGGAACCACCAAGACGTTCTTGATGGTGAGTGGACCGCCATCCACCATGAGCCGCAAGTCGCCTTGTCCCGTGACATCCAAGGTGTCACGGTTGCCGAACATCACGCGCTTAACGGGAGCCACCGTTGTCACGTTGTTGAGAAGCGTCGCGCTCGCCGTCATGTGTTGAGTAGCACCCGTATCGAGTACCCACGCGTCAACACCACCGACGGTCGTTCCACTTGCGACGAAGACGAACTCCCGGTCGTTGTTGTCGCATGTCGCCACATGCGCGCGCCGGTTGTCGTCACTTGAAGACGGCCTCCAATTCGCCGGTTTAACGGGACAATCGCGCCACCAATGTCCCGTCTTCTTGCAAAACCGACAAGCTCCCTCTCGCGCCCGAGCTCGATTGGCGTTGGCCGATCCTCCTCGTGATGAGCTTGAGGCCGCCGCGCTCCCGTTCGAAATCCCGCGGTTGTTGCCGTCGTTTCGCCGCTTGAAGTGACCCGACCCTTTCGCCTTCGCATCGCGGGAGAAGTGTGCCGCGCCGATTGCATCGCCATGCAACTTCGCGCGCCTCGCCTCTTCGTTGATGAGGCGTGCCACCACTTGCTCCTTCTTCCATGTATCTTGCGTCCCATCCAACACCGTGATCACCGTTGACCATGCTTCACCGAGGCCCGCGAGGAGCGTCATGATCCAATCGTTGTCCTCCACGCTCGCATCGAGTTCCACCAAGCGCTCGCCAAGCTCCTCCACGCGGTTAACGTACGCGCGCATTGACTCGCCGTCCTTCATCCGCACCGTGAAGAAGTCGAGGCGCGCTTGAAGCTTGCTATGAAGCGACTTGGAGACGTGCTCTCCTTCAAGTCGCTTCCACGCTTCACGAGTCGCGTCGTCACGGTCGATGCAAGGGCTCACGATTGGGACGAGTTGGAGGCTTAGCTTGGAGACAAGAAAGGCAAACGCCTTTTTGTCCTTGCGCACCCACGCTTCCTTCTCCGCGGTTGAAGCGTCCGACGTGGGCTTCGATGCCGACCCATCGAAGAATCCCCACAAGTTGCGCTCCGTCATGTAGACTTTCAACTTGAAGCGCCACGAGGAGAAATGTTCCCCGGTAAAGATTGGCACCGCGCTCAAGTCGACAACGTGCGGGGTTGTCGAGAAGTCCGTTGGGAGGGAAGGGGCCGTTGGCGTATTCGTCGTCGACGAATTATCAGAGGAACCCATGGCGTAGCAACGCTTGAGCGAGCACTCCTAATCTAGCTCTCATACCATGTAAGAATCCGTCCTGGATTAACTGACGCCACAGACTCAGCTTAGCGAGTTAAAACCAGAGCCTAGAATCAATCCGACGGGCTCGGAGCAAGGATTCCGTAGCAACTTAGATCACTGAAATCGCCCAAGAGTTGAGAGAGAAAACGTTGTTCATATGAAGATAGGTACACAAGTCGTACAAGGAATATGCTCTCTGTTTTGCTCTCTGGATTTATAACTAAAACACACATGCAGAATTGTAACATCGAACCGCGCGCGACTCGCCAGAAATTCGGACTCAAGATCGCGTCCAATTTCCGCGACGTCCGCGTTCATAATTTCGGACTTTGCCGGGTTCGTTTCTTCACGCCGACAATCGTGTGTTACAAGGATCAATAGCGAGTGTAGCGAAATGTTCGTAACATTCGCTTGCACCCTTGCTATTTTCGTGCATGCTTGTGGGGCTGCCAAGTGTCGCCCCCACAAATGTTCGGACCCAACCGAGGGAAGTTCGGTTGCGTGGCGACGCGGACAATCCGCCGTCACCCCAACCTTCCAAGAACGAACCCTCCCTTGGTCCGAGTCAAGGGAGGTCTTCGCGTGGGGGGCAATCCCGTCCCCCACACTTCCAACATTCACTATGACAGAGAACTCACTGAGGTTCGAAGGGGCTCACCAGGCTCGACACGATTTGGGGGCTGCCCGTCCCAGAACCCCAAAGTGAAGGGGGGATTCCGGATGTATTCGGGATCCTCTCGTTGGGCGTGGCAAACGGGGCCTTTGTTTGGCACAGCGTTGACGCGTTGCGTGTTTTTCTTGTTAGAGTATACAACCTTTCGCTGACTCAAAGTTATGTTAGAAAAAACAAGATTCGACGTTCACGTCGGAAGGGTTGCATAGTAAGTTAATTTCAAATTTTGAGGAAATGAGAAATCCATTTGTTTCAAGCCAATGATAGAATATATATGCAACAGAGAAGAATTGAATGAGGATGAATGAACTATGAATGAAGTGGGTACATATACCAAACCCTAATTGGGTTGTACCCCCTATGGGATACCCCACTATAGCCTACACAACAGCATAAGCTATATGTTCTGACACACCCCCATAAGCAAAGTGGGGGAGAGCAAGGGGTCACAAGACCAGTCAAGGAAAGCAAAGCAAAGCAAGCTCAGGGTGGATCACAAAGTCACCACGCAATCCGAGCACAAGGTCAAGGCCACAAGGCCAGTTCACATGCAAGAGAACACATATATATATAAGACTAATCAAGCCAAAGCAGGTATATATATATATATATAGAGAAGAGTACAGGTGAGGTCAAGAGGAGAGCAAGTGAGGAAAGACAGGCACAAGGCCCGGCTGAGTGCAGAAGCGCTGATGATCACAACGCGAAAGAGCCTTGGTGAAAACATCAGCAGTGTTGGCCTCAAAGGCCACGTACGCAAGTCGCAACTGACCATGCTACTGCAGCTCACGAGCGAGAAAGTAGCGGAGAGCAATGTGCTTCGTTCTGTGCTCCAGGCGCTGCTCCCGACACAAGGCCAGCATGGCCTTGTTGTCTACGTACAGCACTTGAGGAGAACGAGGTGGCTCTCCGAGGTCAGTCAGCAGGTAGGTGAGCCAGCGAAGCTCCTGTGCAGCCATGGCCCCGGCGTAGATCTCAGCCTCACAACTGGAGCCGAGAACAGAGGACGAGCGAGTAGCCCGCCACGAAACAGAGCCGGAACCAAGACTGAAGGTGTAGCCCTGTGACGATCGCTGCGTAGCCTGGTCGTCAGCCACCAGTGAGGACCACTGGACTGCGCCCTCCAAGCACTAGCCCCATGCCCGACGTACTGCACAAGTAGCGCAACACCCTTTTCGCTGCAGCCATGTGCTCTGGTCTGTGTCTCCCACAAGCAACATAGCGTGCAAGAATGCTAATAGGGTATGCGAGGTCAGGTTGTGTGCAGGTCATCAGGTACATGAGGCAGCCAACAAGCTCTGGGTACGGGCCACTCGACTCTACGGACTCATCCAAAGGCAGACCTGAGAGCGAGTGGCGAGTAGCCAGAGGAGTGGCCTGAGGCGAGGAGTACGTGAAGTCGAAGCGCTGAAGGACCTGCTGCACCATGTGTGACCGAGTCAAGGTAATGGTGCGGCGTGCTCTGTCCCGGGTGATCTGCAAGCCAAGGTAGCTACGCAGTTCACCCAGGTCTGTGCATGTGTGTCTCTTCTGCAGCTCGGACTTCACGTGGGCGAGTCCAGCAATGTCATCTGTGGCAAAGACCAAGTCGTTGACGTACACGAGGATGTAGAACGGCGGCAGAGAGGTGTTGGTGCGAAGAAACAACAACGGGTCAGTAGTAGAGGGAGCAAACCCAAGAGCCGCAAGCATAGTCCTCAGTGTGTCGTGCCACTCGCGCGGTGCCTGGCGGAGACCGTAGACTGGCCGTCTAAGGCTCCACTGGGTGCCAGGAGGGAAAGTCCCAGTCAAGCCAGGTGGACGGCGCAGCAAGATCTACTCGTGCAGACTACCTTGCAGGAAAGCAGTGCTGAAGTCAAGGGAGTGAAGCTTGTAGTGACGCTACGCGGCTATATGCAGTAGCACCCGAAGAGTGGTCATCTTCGGGGTGGGAGAGAAGGTCTGAAAGTAGTCAACTCCCTGCCGCTAACTGGAGCCACGAGCCACATACCGCGCCTTGAAGACAGGTGGAGAGCCCGGCGGCCGCTTCACCCTGAAGATCCACATGCCACTGACGATGTTCGCCCCAGGAGGGGGAACTGCGTCAACGTAGGTGCCTGTGGACTTCCAGGAAGCCATCTCTACATCCATAGCTGCTTGCCACTGAGAGGAGTAGGGACCCTCTACGGCCTCCGCGTAAGAGCGCGGAGTCGGGATGTCAAGTGCATCCGGTTCTCTCTGAGGGGTAAGCAGTACAGATGGGAGATGAGGTGAAGCAGCAGCCAGACACTGGAACTCCTCCTGCCTGTCCTCAAGGACGTCCGTGCCAAGAGCACACTCACCCCCAACGGACGGAGGACACACAGACGCAGACTCAGCAACAAGACTAGCAGCGTACTCTAGGCGACAGCGCGCAGCAAAGTCGACGAGCTCAGTAACCAGTGCAGACGCAGCAGAGGACTCAAAAGAGGGGTCAGTGACGACAATAGCAAGAAGACGCGTGATAGTAGGACTGGTAGCACAAAGAGAGTCCGACTCCAAATCGGCAAGCGCAGGAAGAGAGGACTCAAGAGGAGAAGGCAAAGGGGCACGCAGGGGAGTAGTGGACGGACGCAGAGACATGCGTTGCGTGCCAGGAACAAGAGGAGGACGCTGACGCGAACCGCGACCACTAGCGCGAGTAGCACGAACAGGAGACGCAGGATGGGACGCAAGCTCACGACGCTCAGCAAGACCTCCAGTAGGACCAGTGTAGGGAGAAGGAGCAGGGAGAGGGAAGGCCGGTGGTAACTTTGACTGTGACTGGACAAGCGGTGGACTCTCTAAGGGAGGAGGAAGACCGAGAACCTACTGAAGGAGCGGAACGAAGTACGGCTGAGGCCGCGCGGCGACTCAAGACACAGCAGAGATAGCACCAGCACCCTCAGCGGCAACACCAGCGCCACCAGCACCAGCAGTACCCACAGCAGAACCACCGGTAGGACCAATAGCAGTAGCCTCCGCGCCACCACCCTCCGCTGGACGAGCACCAGTCGTACCCGCAGGAACAGCAGCTCCAGCACCCTCAGCAGCCAAAGAAACTCCAGCTCCAGCAGTACGCCTCGAGCGCCGGGCAAACCACTCGCGCAGCTCCTGTGGAGAGAGTGGCTCCCGCCGAGACGAAGCACCCAGAGAACCACCACGCCCAGCACCGCCAGACGGCACACGAGCAGGTCCAGCGAGCGCGGGCTCAGCACCCCCAGACTCACCAGCTCCAGACTCAGCACCCCCAGGCTCAGCAACTCCAGACGCAGCACCCCCAGGCAAAGAAGCTCCAGACTCAGCACCTTCAGGCTCAGCAGCTCCAGACGCAGCACCCGCAGGCTCAGCACCCCCACGCGTAGCACCCACAGGCTCAGCACCCCCAGGCGTAGCACCCACAGGCTCAGCACCCCTAGACCCAGTACCCCCAGCTGCAGCACCCCCAGACCCAGCACCCCCAGGCGCAGCACCAGCAGCAGTAACAGAGTCACCAACAACCTCGACCGGCTCGACCGCGTCTACCTGAGACACACATGAAGGGGCAGGACCCTGAGGAGGTAGGGGGTCTACTGGGGGGGGAACTGGTACCAAGAAGTGCGGAGGTGGGGGGAGGGACAAAGTGCGGTAGGGGGAAGAGGCGGTAGAAGGGGACGGACTCGTCGAACGTGACGTCCTGGGAGGACAGAACACGCCGAGAGGCGGGGTGGTAAAACTGCCACCCTGGTGCGTCAAGGGGGAAGCCAAGGAAGATACAGGGAGCAGCACGAGGGGACAGCTTGTCCGCAAACAAGTCGCGGACAAGCGCCCGAGATCCCCAGACACGGAACGCAGACGCATCGCCGACCTTCCCCGTCCACAGCAAGGCTAGGGAGGTCTCCGCCCGGGAGACCCTGGGGTGAAGGATGAGCGACAGAAAATGGGGGGCAGCCGCATGCATCATGGACGTACGAGCGACGTCCATGACCATGCCAATGCGGCGCTCAGCAATCCCATTTTGCTGCGGAGAGTCCGGAAGCGTAAAGGTCTGGTAGATGCCTCGTGCACGACAGTAGGCTCGTAGAAGGCCAGAGGAGAACTCCCCACCTCGGTCAGAGTGCAGACGTAGAACAGGAAAGTCCGAGCCGAAGCTCCTCCTGAGCTGGAGACGAGCTGCGCGGATCTAGTCGATCACCACCTCGGTGACAACACCCTTGCTGCATAAGGGGAAGACCGTGGTGTAACGCGAGTAGTCGTCAACCACCAGCAGGAAGTAGCGCTCGTGACCCTGTCCACGGACGCGGGCCGGGCCCCACACGTCCATGTGAAGCGTCTGCAGAGGAGCCTCTATCGGGGGAGACTGGGAGGAGTGGGGGGCAGCACGGAGCCGCCCCTCGACACAGGGAAACACAGGAAGGTCCTGGCCCCAAAGGAAGGGGAGGGAGAGACTTAGGAAGACCAGAGACAAGGACACGGGAAGCCATGTCCCAAAGACGAGGCAAGGAGGGGTGGCCCAGACGGTGGTGCCACAGGAGAGTCTCATGAGACAGGAGGCGACACGAGCAGGGGGCAGACTCAGGACCAAACCTGGACGCAGCAGCAAACACCTGACCCGACGCAGCTACCTGGCCAGACACAGGGACAAGAGGAGACCCCGGCTCTTGCAGCAGCGGGCAGACTCAGTGGTCAGGGTGTAGAGGCTCGACCCCGGTCGGCGCGAGAACGTGGCCAGGTCTCGGCCTGTGCGTGCGTTCGTGCAGTGGGTCACCCGCTGACTCGCAAGAGTAAACTGGTGAACCCCCGCATCTTGCAGGTCAGCACCACTCACCAAGTTCGTCGAGAACAAGGGGAGGTACAGACCAGACAGGGTGCACGAGGGGGCAGCCGGACACGGGAGGATAGTGAAGAAGTGAGAGAGGACAGGACCACCAGGGGGGTCAGCCAGGGAGACCGCAACCGGCCGACTAAGCGACGTGAGTGTGGTGCGGTCTCGAAAGAAGAAGCGAGAAGCTCCTGAGTCCAGTGTGAAGGTGAGGGAGGCCGAAGCTGACGCAGTACCTGAGAGCGCAGCCTCACCAGTACCTGAGAGCGCAGCCTCACCAGTACCTGAGAGCACAGACGCACTGGCACCTAGAGCAGCAGCCTCACAAGTACCTAGTGCAGAAGTACCAATGCCCGGGTCGGGCGGGAAACATCGGTAACAGTCACCCTCATCACTAATAGTCACAGCATACATGGCAGCAAGGATAGCATCAAAGTCAAGATCATAGATGGCTTCACCAGCCCTAGACAGCTCTCCCTGGTGGGGGATCTCACTAGCCTCGGGAAACTGCTGACGCCAAGCGTCCGTCAGGCGGCCAAAGCAGCGCTGAGAGGGGTGGGCACCCCCACACTGCTCACGCGCGTAGTCGCCAGAGCGAAGGACGTAGGTGCACGGACCAAAGCCCCCCCCACGCTGACGCTGCGTGTACCACTCACGAAGCTGCTCAGGCGGGGGGATGTCACGAGAACGCTGCTGCTGGTGCTGCTGCTGTCGCTGACCACCACTAGAGCCGCTCCGCTGCGAGGCTCCACTCTGACCAGCTCCACCCACTCCGCCACACCCGCCTCCACCTCCGCCACCACCTCCGCCCGCGCCTCCGCCACCACCGCCGCTGTCGCTCCCTCCAGTGCCGCCGGCACCGCCTCCACCTCCGCTGCCGCCACCACCACCACCACCCCCGCCACCACTCCCACCGCCACCCCCACTTCCTCCGCCGCCTCCACCGCCACCTCCACCTCCCCCGCCAGCTCCTCCCGCGCCCTTGCCCCCTTTGCCCTTGCCAGGGCGGCGTCTCCCGCTCGGGGCAGACGCCGCGCCGACCGACTCAAGACCAAGCAGGTCGGCAGCAGCAGCACAGGCAACAGAGGGCAGCAGGGGGGAAGAAGAACACCCCTCAAAGATGGGGGTGCGAGGGTCACCACGAGAAGCTCCTACGGCGACGATGCTCTTCTCCGCCGCCAGGAGGGCCTTCTCGAGGAGGTCGACAGTGAGAGTGGTGAGACAGACTGAGAGGAAGTGGTCCCTGACTACACGAAGGGAGTCAGGGAGGCGTGTGACTTTGTAATAGAGAGTGATGTACATGGGGGGGGGGGGGGGGGGGGGGGGGGGGGGTTCTTGGCGCAGAACTCAGCAGGAAGCGCGGCGCGGTAGCGGGTGTCACTAGTGCGGAGGTGCGTGACTAGGTCAGGGATAGTAGGAAAGGCAGCAAGGTCAGGAAAAAGGAACGGTAGCATGAGGCGGCTCAGTGTAGCAGTGGCAGGGGAAGAGTAGCGCGCAACTACAGCGTCGTACAAGGTCTGAGCACTCTTGTACTGACTAAAGTGCGCGCGCTCAATGGTAGGGAGGTGGCGACACACAGCAAGACGTGCAGCAGCATCGCGAGTGGCCCACTGAGAGCGAACAGTGGGGTCAGCATCAGCAGCAGGGGCACGAGAGGCGCCAGAGGTGAGGTCAAAGAGAGAAAGGCCGTCTGCCCTATCACACTGTAAAAACAGCTGCTGGTCGTTGACCCAGACATCAAAGTCAATGGCTCGACCCTCAGCGTCAAAAGCTAGGATGCTAGGGGTAGCCATCACGACGGACTAGCAGTGCAAGCAGTAGGGGAAAGGCACGCAGTAGTAGTGGGGTTGTGCTCACCAGACAGAGCAGATCGAGCGGCTCGGCAATAGGGCGGCTCGGCAGCAGGGTGGCTCGGCGGCTCGGCGGCTCGGCGGCAGGCTGCTGGGCAGGTCGGTAGTATTGCAGCTCGGCGGCTCGGTAGTGCGGCGGCTCGGCGGCTCGGCTGCTGGGCGGCTCGGCTGCTGGGCGGCGCGGCTGCTTGGCGGCTCGGCTGCTGGGCGGCTGGGGTGCACAGCGGCTAGGCGGCTCGGCTCCTCCGGTACTCGGTGGCGCGGCGGCCGGCCGCTTGGGTGCAGGTAGCAGGGTGGTGCGGGGAGCGGCGGCTCGGGTGGTGCGGCAAGAGAAGAGAGCGGCAGGGCCGCGAGGCGTAGGGCAGCAGGGCCGTGAGGCGTAGGGTGGCGGGCCCGCGAGAGCGGGGCGGCGGGGCCGCGATGGAAGGGCGGCGGGGCCGGGATAGTAGGGCGGCCGGGGCCGCTAAGAGAGGGCGGCGGGGCCGCTATTGTAGGGCGGCGGGGCCGTTAAGAGAGGGCGGCGGGGCCGCGAGACGATGGGCGGCGGGGCCGCAAGGCTCAGAGCGGCGGGGCCGCGATTGCAGGGCGGCGGGGCCGCGAGGTAAGGGCGGCAGGGCCGCGATAGCAGGGTGGTGGGGCCGCGATCAAAGGGCGGCGGGGCCGCGATAGCAGGGCGGCGGGGCCGCGATATAAGGGCGGCGGGGCCGCGACAGCAGGGCGACGGGGCCGCGAGGTAAGGGCGGTGGTGCCGCGAGGCGTAGGGCGGCGGGGCCGCGATGAGTAGGGCGGCGGGGCCGCAAGGCGTAGGGCGACGGGGCCGCGAGGTAAGGGCGGCGGGGCCGCGAGGCGTAGGGCGGCGGGGCCGCGATAGAAGGGTGGCGGGGCCGCGAGGCGTAGGGCGGCGGGGCCGCGATAGAAGGGCGGCGGGGCCGCGATGAAAGGGTCGGCCGCTAGGGCGGCTCGGTGAGAGAATAGCCCGAGGCGCGACTCGGGATGAGGGCGCTTCGGGCAGGAAAAAAAAATCGAGTGGTGGGCCCTTGGCGCAGTTCCCACAGGGGAACCTGCTCGATACCATGAGAAGAATTGAACGAGGATGAATGAACTATGAATGAAGTGAGTACATATACCAAACCCTAATTGGGTTGTACCCCCTATGGGATACCCCACTATAGCCTACACAACAGCATAAGCTATATGTTCTGACAGTAACTGCCTGTAGCTGTAGTTTAGTATAGTTATTATAAACTGTTGGTGGTGCACCTTCTTTGCATGCTCTGTTTAATATATCTACCCTAATACTATAGTGAACACCATTCCCATTCTCGACTTCTCCCTTGCCACAACTATCTCGACTGCCCTTGGCCTAGGCTACTAAGCCTAGGCCCAACCTAAACCTAACTACCACTTGTGCTACTATCTCAACAGCCAATCATAGGTATGTTTTTTATTAATTAATATGGAATAAATATATGTTAATTGTCTTTCTTTAAAAGTTTGATAATATGTAATGACTTAGGAACACTAGATTAACCTTTTAGCAATAATGTCTATAGACAACATATTCTACCAGTATCTGTTTGTTGCTCTAACGAGTGTGTGGTTCACCGTGACCTGTTTTGGCGATGAGTCAAGTCGTGAGATGAATGACGCCATTATTGGTGCGTCACATGACACTAGCTTCCAAATCTACTATGCGTGTGTTTGGTATTTTTACTTAATGCCCAAGTCTTGTGGATTGCAATCGCCCCATTGTGTTTGTCTTTCAAAAGTTCAGAGGTTTCGTGTTTCAACCCTGGTTGCTTTCATTTTTTTGAGAACTTGCACATCAACCCTAGAGTTTGACCCACGTCCAGTCTAGATTCCACTCTGTGTCGTTTTTTTTAATGTACACTAGAATACAATCCATTTTTTGTAACTTCCCCAAACCCTTCTTCCCCCAGCCCGACAAAATTACCATTCCCTCCCATCCCACCTTTCCCCCGTCCTGCCCTCTCAAAAACCATTCGCCGTACCGATTATGGAATAATTGGACATATTTGTTTCCGTTTTTTTGGGGAAGTGACGTGAGCACTGATTTCTTCCAAAATTGATGGAGGATATTCACTGTTCACGTTGGTTCCCCGAAAAGTGAAACCAAATATATAAGGTTGCTACGCAACACAAAAAAAAAATATTCCCAAAACGAACTCGTGAGACACGCCCGCATGTACAGTAGGTCACGCGGATTCGAAGGTAATAGGGGGAAAGCACTCTGGTGTGTGTGACTATTCAGCATGTTACGTTATTGTAATAGGCTGATAGTTCAGGCAAAAGGCAAGAGCCATTTCTGCGGTTGTCCTGATTCACTATACTACACAGCGAACTGCCGTGAGGCACGGCAACAACGGTAACTGTCAAACTCATATGCTATAGTCTGTGTAGGCTGTAGTGGGGTAGACAATGTGGGGTACAACACTTTTAGGTTTTCCTACTTGTACCCACCTGCTTGCTAGTTAATTCATTCCTCAATTCTCACATGGTATAGAGCAGGTTCCCTAGTGGGAACTTCCTAGGGCCCACCACTAAAAATTGACTTTATTTTTCCTGCCCTGAGATCGAGTCGCCCCTGACCGAGGCGCACCCTGTGTGCCGCCCTCCCTTAGCGACCCGTCGCACCGCCCTTAGCGCCCCCCCCCCCCCCCCCCCCCCCCCCCCCCCCCCCTCTCTCACAGCCCCTCGCAACACCGTCGCCGCCCCCTAGCGGCACGTCGCGCCACCCTGAACGGCCCATCGCGCCGCACTCAGCGCCCCCTTGTGACCCCACCTCCACGGCCCCGCCGCCGCCCTCTCACGGCCCCGTCGCCGCCGTTCGCGGCCCCGGCGCTGCCCTTAGCGGCCGCGTCGCTGCCCGTCGCGGCCCTGCAGCCGCTCCTCGCGCCCTCGTCGCCGCCCCCTTGCGGCCTCGTCGCCGCCCTCTCGCGGCCCCGTCGCCGCCCTCTTGCAGCCCCGTCGCCGCCCTCTTGTGGTCCCGTCGCCGCCCTCTTGCAGCCCCGTTGCCGTCCTGGCCCCTTCACCGCTGAGCCGCCGAGCAGCTGAGCCACCGAGCCACCGAGCAGCGGAGCCGGTGAGCCGCCGAGCCGCCAAGGCCGCCGTCGAGCCGCCACTACCTCTGTCGAGCTGCCACTGTCTCTGTCGAGCCGCTGCCACCACTGTTGCAGCCCTGTTTCTACCCCCACGCCCCGACCCTACCCACCCGGACAAGTGAGAGCACTCCCTGCTAGACCACTGCTGTCATGGCTACCCCCAGTGTCCTTACCTTTGATGCTGAGGGTCGTGCTGTTGACTTCGAGGTCCGGGTAGATGACCTGCAGCTTTTCCTACACTGCGATAGGGCAGATAGACTCTCCCTATTCGATCTCACCTCTGGTGCCTCTCCGGCCCCACGTGCTGATGCTGACAACACTCTTCGCTCACAGTGGGCCACGTGCGATGCTGCTGCTTGTCTTATTGTGCGTCGCAACTTACCGACCGCTGAGCATGCGCAATTTAGTCAGTACAAGAGTGCTAAGACCTTGTACGACGCTGTAGTTGCACGCTACTCTTCCCCTGCCACTTTTGCCCTAAGCCGCCTCATACTGCCGTACCTATTTCCTGACCTTGTCGCCATTCCCACTATCGCTGACCTCGTTACGCACCTTCGCACTAGTGACGCCCGCTACGGCGCTGCGCTTCCTCCTGAGTTCTGCTCCAAGAACCCCCCCCCCCACATATACATCACCCTCTACTACATAGTCACCTGGCTCCCTGACTCCCTTCGCTCGGTGAGGGACCACTTCCTCTCTACTTGCCCCACCACACTCACTGTTGACCTCCACGAGGAGGGCCTCCTGGCAGCTGAGAAGAGTTTAGTCGCAGTAGGAGCCTCTAAAGGTGACCCGCGTGCCCTTGTCTTTGAGGGGTGCTTCCCCTCCCCCTTTTTGCCTTCTGTTGCCTCTGCTGCTGCCGTTGACTTCGTTGGCACCGAGTCAGTCGGCGCTGCATCTGCCCCTAGCGGGCGACGCCGCACCGGCAAGGGCAAAGGGGGCAAGGGCGCTGGAAGGGCTGGTGGGGGCGGTGGAGGTGGAGGTGGAGGAGGCGGAGGGAGTGGGGGTGGAGGTGGGAGTGGTGGCAGGGGTGCGGGCTTTGGTGGCGGCGGTGGAGGCGAAAGCAGCTACAGTGATGGCGGTGGGAGCGGAGGAGGAGGCGGTGGCTGCAGAAGAGGTGGAGCTAGTCGGAGTGGCTCTACACAGAGATGCGTCTTAGGTGGTGGTCAGCGCCAGCAGCAGCAGCGCAATCGTGAGACCCCGTCCCCTGAGTAGCTTTGTGAGTGGTATGCTAGGCGTGAGCGAGGTGGGGGTACTGGTCCCTGTACCTACGTCCTCTATACAGGCGACCTCGCTAGTGAGCAGTACGGGGCTTGCACTCCACCCAGCG